TACGAATTGGAAATCTGTACCTTTAATGGGTTCCTTCGCTTGCCGCTCGAGTGCTTCGTTTACTCTTGCATTCTAATGCAAAACCGCCATTACTTCCATTCTATCTCGTCGCGAGTTAAAGATTTAACAAGAACATTCCATCGATTTTCTCCCTCCACCATTTTTCTCTCCCGCTCTCAAAATCGAATATCCCCGTTGTCTCTGTGTATTGTCGAAAAATTTGCGCGAATTCGTCGCGTGAAAACGTCCTTTCCTTTTGCCAAATAAATTATTCCAAGCATCCATGTCGCGATCTCTATCGGCCGATCGGCGAAGCATAAGACAATTAACATCGCGAGCTTAAGATATCTCGAATCCGCGCATTTTAGGCAGAAAATTGGCTCGTCGGGTTGGCTGCACGTAAAGCGTTGTTGTTCGCGTGAGAAGCGACTATAATATAAAGTTGAACGAGCTAGAGGACACGCAATGTCTAGAATTTGCTGCTCTCGCGAATCACATCTGAAATACAGCAATGGAACGATCGTCTGACTAATGATATCCCCAGCGTAATCGAGGTAGGAGATATTTTCAGAACTACGCGGAACTATTTTTTCACAATTATCGAATATTACTTTCTGCATTTTCGTACAATCCGAATCACTCGCCATTTGCAGACAGAATTAAGCCGAGCTATGATACGGAAGTATCAATAACGGGTTCATTACTCCCAAGCTAGCATCAAATGCTGACTTGTACCACTGGGAAATCGTTTCCCCTGTTCTGCGGTAATACTACTTCCTCGTGTCTATCCGGCAATACATTGGTACTTACTAACGTGCTTGACCGTATACTTCATAAATTTGCTTTGTTTCGTTCAACATAGTATAAACATATCTGATAATCACACTTTTGTCCTCCATTTTTGACACTATCGATGCGTCAATTTTATAAACAGGTTCCTACGTTGCAGAAAGAAAATGGAAACGAAATTTCAATACAATTTATCAAATAAGAAACCTTTTTCCGAAGAGATAGTAGCATGGAGCAGGATCAATTAACTATATCAATAACAATTATACTCATTGCATTTTATATACCCTAATTTTTCAGAAATATTTAATAGGATTATTTAAATGATATCTAGCTGTATGTGTCCAAATTTTGTTAAAATATTCTGATTATTAATTAAAAACGGAGTAACGAAATTAATTAGAGAGACTGACTTTGGATTGTCTAAATTTTCAATTACCGAAAGTGTAGCAAAAGTATCCGACTATTTTTGGGAGTATTAAAATTCGTTTTTATAGAGACAGAAATGCAATGGCGTACGTTTGCCTGTTTTTAATCCAAGTAATTCTCGTTATATTTGATACAATGTGGAATTCCTGTAATTCTACATCCACAGACAATGATCAGCGGAGCGAACGCGAGAGGTATACGAGCTGGATACATAAATATATGGAAAGATACATAACGGCGTTGTTGGGCCGCGTGGCACGAACTGAGAAAAATATTTCTGAAAAGTAGCCGGTATTCGGTGGAAGAAAAGCGGAACTTTTGTGGCTCGCTTTCAATGCGTCGTGTTGGTGGTCGTCTTACTCGTTGCAGGCATCACACGAAAACCATTTTACCCGGATCTTTTCTCAACTTCAGCCCGACATCTGATCATTCGCCCACGTTTGCCATCCTAAGTGCAAGAATGACGTAATATACAAACGTTCCTCTTGTCCCCGGACTGCCACTCGAAAACGTCTCATTTCTGTCTATTTTTGCCCCTCGTCATCCCTTGCGCCCGTACCCTTACGCGTGTCGCATCGCAAACATTCTGTATGGATACGAGGAACCTGGTCGTTTTTATTTAAATCGCATCCGTGCGAACACAATCGGTTATTGATTTCTCCAACGCGAAGTGGTCACACGGAAAAGGAATAACGCGAATGATACCCGTGTCAGGGTACATCTTTAACCACTTGCGCTGGCAAGAAATTCACAAACGCGTATGCCAGAACGGTCGTGTTTCTGTGACAATTGCCTGGTGACGTGTATACCACGTTATTGGCGATTCTACGACAAAAGCATTACGACGTGCGTGGCACGTCTTTCCAGCGCAAGTGCTTAACAGCTCACGATGTTCCGGGAAAAAATTTTTTCGAGGTATACGGCGTTAATTTTGTTAACTTTGGGCAATGAAGAAAAGAATACACTTTAATCCTTTGACTGTCACTCCAAACTCACATGTTTCCCACCGGACGTCACGGGTGTGCACCGTCAGATGCGAAACTTGTTTTAATATGTTTCTGATGTTCTAATAACAATTTTGAATCGTTCAATGGGGCAATT